TCAGGGCTGTTTGAAAAGTAGGTAGATAAAAGCTTTGGATGATTATTTTTCTTTTCATTGGTAAAATTTAAATATAATTTTCATTTTAATTTCATATGAAAATAACAGGAGTAAAATGTTGCAAATGAATTTGCCAAACTTGCAATAATATTTCTAACGAAAATCATTAACATTACAAGAGGTAATTAAACAGTTGAAGAAGAGTTTAAAATCCAGTTATTAATTACAAAAATTAACATTGTAATTAATAATTAAGGTAACGACGAAATTGTAATATTTTCGCTTTTCAATCTGTTTTTCTTGTTGTGAATTAATGTGAATTGTTTTTAATTTTCAATCTGTTTTTCATTTCCTTATAGATGTTTGTTTCAAAAGAAATCAGTGCATTTAAATAGAAGTCGTATTAAACGAACTGTGTCATAGGCTCTATTGTAATCGTCGACCCTTGTTATATCGCATTTAATTCAGGAACCGGATTAAAGGTGTATCGGAAAAAGATAACAAACAGAATTAATTCGATAGGGTCTTTTGTAACGCTGAGTAACAATGATGACTTGTCAATTTCTTTTTTTTCCTTTGTTTGCAATCGCTCTGGGAAATGTTCCTAACATGAGGCCGGGAACATATACTGACAAACTCAGTATAACAGGTACAGGTGTGCCAGTTACTGGTATGCGTGAATGCTAATTTTTTATCCCAGCACTTGGATGCAAGTTTACTCGATATTTGAATTCGTGGGAGCTACGAACAAATAAATTTAAAGAGGGGTCGAGGTGAGAACGTAACGAACATATTGTGCCAATAGCACGTGTCTGGTATGCTAGCTACTACCGCGTTATACTGGCATATGTAATTTCGCCTTAAAACTCTGTTTTTTTTTTAAGGTTTATACAATGGTGGAGGAGACGCATTGGAAGGAGAAATGTCCTCTTTATGTGCGTCTTCGCCTCCGTCAATGAAGGGTAGGTAACGCATCTGCAATTGCGGATGTTTATGGGCAGCGGTCGCTTTCCATTTCAGTGAATTCAGGTGGCCGCTTGCTCGTTTGCCACCTTTTATTATAAAAAAATCTCTGAGGACAAACGGTAGTAGCGGCGATTCTACTGCAATGGTAATACACTCCATTGTTACCTGGTGCTATCATTTTCTGCGAAGTTACATGATCAAAAGGTGGAAATCCAAAACAACGAAAAAAAATTAGGTCATGGTCTAATTTCGACAAATGACCGACACTAGGACAAATTCAATAATGACGCTTTGATGGATGCGGTATTTGAACACATTTAGATGTCAGTACACACTCGCTTTAACTAATTATTCGTTATTAATTACCTAATCTGCTTGTCATGTTAAAGGCAAATGTCTCATGAACTAGAACCACATGTTATCCAGATTAGCGGGTGTTATACGTTGCATTGTTAATTAATGTTTTCTCTTAATTGACTAAAGATAAGTTATACATAAACATAGTGATGTTACATATAAAGTGATTAATCAGTCATTTGCGCTGATTCCCAAGTATAAATTTACTGAATAGATTGTAGTTAGTACTGCTTTTGAAAAGTGTATTGTAATTGTGTTCATGTACTTACTCAGAATGTAGACATTTAGTTAGCGTAAGTTAGATTATGTTTTAGTAACAAAGTCTAATCAAAATTGTAAAATCCTAGCCTGGGGGCGTTTTAATCTGAGTTTTCATGATTTTTCAAAAACTTTTTAAAATACGCCAATATTATTTTTTATAATTTTCTGCAATAGTTTTGGTGTTATTTATATTTTTGGTCGGATTACACTTTCTTATATTTTTTACTTTGGCATTCGCTTATGTGGATGTTTTTTTATAATTTACAACCGGTATGTGTTAGTAATATAACTTTTAGTAAGGCGTATTTTTTTTTTACTTAAAATAAATTATTGTCCACTTAAAAACCGATTTTCATAATAGCCTTAACTCATATAAATTTCATAAAAAAAAAACATATAATATGTCTCTATACAGATATCAGCAGAAACTATCAGCAAGTAAACATTAATCATCAACATATTGTAAACTAACTATTGTCAGCGACTTTGTCAGAGCGAAAAAACAATATTACTCCTGAACATATTAGCTACTTTCCAGTAAAAGAATCGTCTAAATCAAGTCGAATTTGAGATAACCTCAAACATACATAGTTTTTCGCACAAATATTACGATATACGATTTCTTTCGATGTAACAAACATACATACAATTTTTATTAACATGTATAACATGAATTGTCTATTCATTTCCTTGTCTCAATGATGCAGTACTTCAAAGATAAATAATGACAACCAATTGCGTTGTTACGCCATTATTTATTGTTGAATAACGTAAAGTACAACTAGTGTTGTACCAATTTATCTTTTAATAGCATATTTCATTAAAAGATAATCCTGTAATATTGTTAATATCTTTGATCAATACAAAAAAGGTTAAGAAATAAATTCGTAATTTATGTTTCGGAAAATACTCTGTTCAGGTTATATTGGTTAGATCATAGATTTCAATTAATTACATTTGTGTTTTCGTAACTATTTAACAATGCTAAAGTACATTTCTCTAATAGAAACTCCCGTAGGGTCGAGGAATCGGGCTTTCGTCCTCCAAATAACTCTATCATCCATCTCAGTCATCACTCCTCTCTTGATTATGTCACATTTCATGCAATCTATCCTTTTTTCTACCTACCGTTTTTTTTTTATATAACACACAAAAAATGTAAAAACTCAAATCTCCCAACGCAATAATTTTCGCAACTATAAAATTGAGAGAAAAAACATAAATGTAAAATGTATTGCAGCTGTTATTTTTATTACTAATTTGAAGTAAAATGCAATTAGCGTAACAGTATGGTCAGAAAATTCCTGATAAACAAGAAACGAATAACGAAAGGTAACAGTTGGAAAATTTACAAACTTCCTCCCTTTACTATACAAGAACACTACAACTACATGCATCTAGCATTCATTCCATATTATTAAATAATAATTGTACGTCAATAGATGTGCAGAGATAACGTTGATGGGCACAACCGTGACTGTCATTTACATTACTTCCTTTGTGTTATACGTACGTGTAAAAATGTTTTTATTATTTATTATAAGTTCAAATTTATTTTATCAAATAGAATCAGCTAAAATATTAGCATTTTTTCCAATACCATCAATTAGTCATCAAGTTGTGTTTCGTCCACTTACACAGGAATTGGCAAAACGAGGTCATGAAGTGATTGTGGTTACACCCGATCCAGCTTTTCCAAAAGATCAAACACCAGATGGATTAACAGAAATAGATGTTCATGAAATATCTTACAGTTATTGGGAAAAATTTCTAGAAACTGCGACTGGAAATGAAGATGATTTGGCAACACAACTGGAAGTAGCATTTGATTCGATAGCTGTTATATTTGAAAAACAATTAGAAGTGAAGGAAGTTAAAGAAATCCTTAACAATAAGAATGTGACATTTGATATACTTCTTCTGGAAGCTTGTGCTATGCCAGCATTATCTTTATCCTATGTTTATAAAGCACCAGTTATTTTAGTAAGTTCTTTCGGTGGTCTAATCGGAAATTATGAATTACTTGGTGCACCGAATGATCCAATATTCTATCCATTACCTATAAGACAGAAACTATACAATTTAACAACATGGGAAACATTGAAAGAAATATATTACAACCATTATCAAATGTTTGGACTATTTGAAAATCAGGAAAAGAAGCTGGATAAATCTTTTAAAAGGATCTTCGGTCCAAACTTTCCAGGACTAGCTACGTTAAAGAATAACGTGCAAATGTTGTTTTTAAATATACATCCTATTTGGGACAACAATCGACCAGTACCACCTAATTTAATATATATGGGAGGACTACACCAAAATCCGAGAAAAGAATTACCACGCGTAAGGAATTTAATAATCAATAATTTACAACTATTATAAATGCAAAATATTGCATGAAGGGATAGATGTTTGTTACGAGGTACCTTCAAAACGGCTAAAATTATCGCCGTGAAATTCTGCATAGATGTAGAGCATAGTCGGGAAGATCGGACGTAGTGACAGCCGACAGCTAGTATTGATCATCATTGAACCATCAGAGAATATTAATATAGTTATCTGTGGCTTATTTCAGGAACTGACTTCAATACTAGATGCTTCAAAGGACGGTGTTATTTATTTTAGTTTCGGCACTAACGTAGATCCTGCTTTATTACCGCCGAAAAAGATCAGAATATTTTTAAACGTTTTCTCTAAGCTTCCATACACTGTATTATGGAAATGGCAGTCTAAAATGGCTTACAACGTGCCTTCTAATGTCAAAGTTATGAAGTGGTTCCCACAGTCAGATTTATTAAGTAAGTATATTTTATACCCATGTATAGAATAGTGATCAAACAAAGAAGTGATGAAAGAAGAAATCAAATATGAATTTTAAGTAATAGTGTTAAAGTAAATGAGAGAGAACAAATGAAATAGATAGTCTTCTTTAAATATTTTTTATAGGACATCCGAAAATCAAACTATTTATAACACAAGGAGGTTTACAATCGACAGATGAGGCTATAACAGGGGGGGTTCCATTAATAGGGATACCGATGCTCGGAGATCAATGGTTTAATGTTGAAAAATATGTACATCACGGACTCGGAGTAAGACTGGATTTGGACACTCTTACTGAAGATAATCTTTTAAACGCTATTAAAGATGTCATTGAAGATGAAAGGTACGAACTTACTTATATTCATAAGGTAGCAAACAACCGGCCAACTGAACTTGTCGAAACAGAGAAGCGACAGCTACCGATGGACATCAGCAATCGATGATCGGTTGCCTTCCTTTTATCACCCTTTCTATGCGTTCCACCCTCATTCAAATCATCATCCCCTTTCCATCCTTTCGTTATATGAAAAAAGTGGGAAGGTCTAAGGGTCTGCAATAGTCCACCGGCGTTGTTAGTCATCGAAACGCGTATTTTTACTCCACGCCTGTCTTCTGTGTGGTCATGGTATAGCTATGAGCGAACCTACCCATTGCATCAAATGGCTTCTACCACTGTAAACTTATGTTAATAGTAATTTATCCATTTATAAATTTAAAAGATTTCTACAAACATATACATCAATTTAATGAAAGACAATTGTTAAGAAGTAAATATTTGCATAGGTATTACAAACATTTATGTAAAGATTTAGTAACTAAGATTAAATAAACAATGGAAATTATCTACAACTAGCTTTTGCCAGCGACTCCGTCCACGTGAAATTTAAAAATAACGAAAAGAATTGAAAAATATAGCCTATGTTACAGATTACCTTTCTAACGGTGAGCGTTAAAATCGGCCCAGTAGTTTTTGAGCCTATTCAAAACAATCAAACAAACAAAGTTTTCCTTTTTATAATATTAGTATTGATTACATCTT